TCAAAATAAAAGCATGCCAAATTACACTTAAGAAGACATACAACTGCAACAAAAGTAACAAACACAATGCAATATCCTTTTCAATTTCAAAGAACACAAATTGGGTTATTTACAGAGGGCCTAGGTATAAATGTCACGGCTCGCCACTGCAGCACAGTGTGGTCTGATTGGTCGGGACGTTGTGAATCGCGCTGAGCTCCGTGGAGGTGTTGTTTCCTTGTTTAGCATACACAGCGAAACACAGCCAAACTCATCCTGAGCACACACAAACTCACAGCCGAAGTAAAAACAATAAGTGTGGCTTGATATTGAGTAAGAAAAAGGTTGATAAACGCTGTGAGAATGGGTCTGCAGAGAGAATTTCGCTGCGATCCCAACTGTCTGTTATCAGCCTGCAGCCAGGGAGAAGAAATCAACAGAGCTGCCTGCACTGTGTGTGTGTGTGAGGAAGTCCGTGGATTGGTCAATTTGGACCAATCAGCGGGGGCTTAACATAACGGCTCCGAGGACGTAACGTAACGGCTCCACGGATTGGTCCATTTCATTCCGGGTACGGGGTTACGTCACCCCGTCCCGGAAGAATCAAATGGACAATGACGTACCTCCAACGAGGCGTTTTGGGGAGGTATTTTCTGTGTTAGAGTTTTACTCGCTACAGGGTGTACTTTGAAGGTTTTGACTCTGCACACCGTTTACATGCATATCATAACCTTCATAACGCACAAGGGGACGGGTAATAACCGGAAAAGCATGACATGGGACCTTTAAAGGGGACCTATCATGCAAAATGCACTTTTGTACGTCTTTTATACATGAATATGTGTCTCCGGTGTTCCAGGGAACTCACCAAGTGTCAGAAAACACAACCCTCTCTATTTTCCTCCATACCCAAATCTCTAAAAAAGGGGCTGCAACGGATCTGATAAAAACTGATCCAGATTTGAACACTGTCCTGACGTCAGGACAGTGGCGCTACGGCTATTGGGCCAACTCCACCAATCAGGAGGAGACAGCCACGGCCATTGCCGTTCGAAAGCGCTGGAGACGCTGTAGTACATATGCCAGGCCTGTAGACGGTGCTGTTCTCACTGAATCTGCCCTTGCACAAACAGAGCAAAAAAATGTCAAATTGAGCAAAATGAGGCATGGCTAAAATGCATGATCTGTTTGGTATTTTGAAAAAAAAAAAGTATAAATATGCCTTATATAGGTATGGTCCTACACTATATTATTCAAATATAGCATGATAGGTCCACTTTAAGTAAAAAGTACCCATAACTACCAACTGTTTTAAAGAGTAACTGATCTCCCTTTATATTAATAGAACAATAATGTCATTGTTAGCTAATGAATGTTTCGATGCTGAACAACGGCAAAATGACAAAGTTCTCATTGGTCCCTCTTCTTTGGAGAAGACCAGGAAGTGATGGATACACGGATCATGTTCAAATCAATAGGCACGCAATGACTCTAAATAATAATGATCAGGCCACCAAACACACAGATTAAAACTAAAGTAACAAACCTGTTTTGAAAATGTAAAAAGTAGAAAGTACAGGTATTTGTGTTAAAAGCAAAAAGTATAAAGTCGTCAGAAAAATAAGTACTGGAGTAAAGTACTGATTCCAGAAAAAAGTATTTAAGTACAGTAACGAAGTATTTGTACTCCACTACTTCCCACCTCTGAATATCAGGAAGAAAACTATCCACATCTTCCATCAAAAAGCAATACCTTTAAAGATGAAAACATAAGGGGTGCTGTGATCACACCCTAAGGCTTCTGTCCCCAGTGCCACTGGATAAACAGTGTGACTGCTCACACAAAAACATTTGTATTTTAAAAACTGCAATAGTGTACTTTAACTCCACTAAATGGATTGTTTACCTTGAGTTAATTTGAAGATTTGGATAAATGATTGGACATTTTAAAAAACCCACTTAAATGGAGTAACATTCACATGGCAAAGTCATTAAAACTATCTCCACCGTCACCAGGTTTGATAAACACATTAATGGTTCAATGAACATATAATGTATTTTATTTGCAAAAGGGCCATTCTGCATAATGATTACTTTTACTTGTGGCCCTTTAAGTATATTTACAAGAACATCCAAATGAACATAACACAACTCCTATTCTTCCAGATGATACTGTTGGAGCTATATCTCTTTATATTATGTTGTAATACTTAAACATTTATTTTCTTGCTGTTTATCGTGTTTAATGTAAATGTATTCTTAGTTATTGTCATAAGTTAAAGTAGTTTCTATGCTTTTATTTTGAAGGCATGTTTGGGCACTACGTAATGGAGAATATAGCTAGAGCGATTAAAAAAGTGGAGAGGTGGTCATATAACTGGGGATTCAAAATGTCAGAAAGCAAGTCATGCTACATGGTATTTACAAATAAACGCAAGATTGATGGCCAACAGCTAACACTATATGATCGTCCAATGACAAAGGTGAATGAGTTCAAATACCTAGGACTGTGGTTTGATAGCAAATATACATGGAAAATGCATATTAATCAAGTGGAAACAAAATGCAAAAAAGTATTACATTTATTGCGAGCTGTAGCTGGATGCAACTGGGGCGCAGACAAACAAGCATTAATAGACATTTACAGATCAATTATGAGGTCCACAATAGACTATAGTTGTATAGTGTCAGCAGCAGCAAAAAAATCGCTTTAAAAAAATGGATAGAATACAATATGACTAATATTGCGGCTGTGTATTGGAGCGATAAAGTCATCCCCTATCAATGCAGTTCTGATAGAAGCAGGAGAGACACCTCTGGAGATCAGAAGAGAGAAACTTGCTCTGTCATACTGGGTCAGGCTACAAGGAAGTGGAGAGGAAAATATTACAAACAGAATACTACAGGATTGCTGGGAATATACAAAGTTCCAAGGGCGTGGGTTTGGCTGGACAAGTAAGGAGAGAACGAGGGCATATGGAGTGGAGACCATCACGTTTGCCAAAGCAAGCCCATTTAGCAGTGTTCCTCCATGGCTTTTCCCAGAAGCTAACATAGATACATATGAGTATCGTAGAAAGGAAAAAAGAGTGGCAAATAAATGAAGTGGGAATTAAAACAAGTATGTATCTGAACGAATAGTACTACAATTACCTAAACATTTACACAGATGGTTCTAAGAACAAGGAAGAGTGTGTTGGAGTTGGTATAAATATCGATCTCAAAAAGAGCGTCTGATCAATTATCAGTGTATACAGCAGAAATGCTGGCAGTAATAATAGGATTACAGTGGGTTGAAGAGGTCAGACCAGATAGGGTGGTGATATGCACAGATTCATTATCCATATTAAAAAGCATACAGTCATCAACAACTGCCAGAGAAGACATTCTCATAGAACTTAACCACAGCCTGTTAAGACTTCACAGAGGCGGTATAGATCTGCAGTTCTGCTGGGTGCCTGCACATGAGGGGGTGAAAGGGAACGAGTGTGCTGATAAATTAGCAAAAAGTGCACTACAAAAGGAAATCACTTTACCAGTTCAACTTGGAGAAGGAGAAGGAAAAGCAGTAATTAAGAAAAAAGGGATGGAGATCTGGCAGAAAAGGTGGGAGAAAGACCAGAAAGGCAAAGACTATCATAAAGTTCAAAAGACAATTACAATTTATATTTATAAAGAAAGAAACAGAAGGGAGGAAATCACGATAGCTAGACTCAGAATAAATCACACGGCTTTGAATGGTACGCTGTATATCATGGGGAAAAGTGACAGTGACAAGTGTGGGAACTGTGGAGTAAAAGAAAATGTAGAAACATATCTTGTTACATTGTGACATCTATAAAGCTGAAAAGAGGCAGAGAGGGAATGGAGTGTGGTTGAAACTGGGGTAGGAAAAATAATTGAACATTAGGTTAGAACAGATCATAGATTTTTATTTTGTTTTATTTATTTTATGTTTTTTGTTGATTTATTTATTTTTTGTTTAGATCATAGATATATACGTCCATGAGTTAAGATATGGAATGATATGATGATTCACACTCATGTACAGTAGGTGGCGGTATGCACCTTTAAAGTTGTTTGCAATTTTTACCAGGGTTTTCTTTGAGGAACCTGGGTTTCATAGGAAACCTGTATCATTACCCAGCGTAAGATTCGTTAACTGGTGCCTCAGCGGCAGTGTTATTTTAAGTGAATTATCAGTTTTATTTCTATATGATTTTGGCCACTACAGATACCATAGGGTCTTGTTTGAAACCTTTCCCAGCATTGAAATAGGCCATGTTCTTATTGGCAACAGGAATGCATTTCTAAGAATTCCATTAAACCAATCATGTCACGCTGACCTAATACTTTTGTTCTTCAACTTTAGTAATATTTTAATGCAGGATTTGTACTTGTAACATACTATTCCTACACTATGGTATTTCTACTTTTTTTTCAGTACAAGATAAGAGTACTTCTTCCACCTCTGCTCATACATTTCAATGTATTTATTTACAGAAAACACATACCCTTTTGTGCGGAACCTAAATTGTGTGTCCTGTTTCCAGGTGGTCGTCTTGACAAGTGTGGGAGCTGTGGAGTAAAAGAAGATGTAGAACATATCTTGATACATTGTGACATATATAAAGCGGAAAGAGAAAAACTAAAGGCTAAAGTTTTAGAGGCAGAGAGGGAATGGAGTGTGGTTGGTATTTTGGGAACAAAAGGAGAGGGAGTAAGAGCTACCAGAAAGGCACTGTTTACATTCTTGAGTGAAACTGGGGTAGGAAAAAGAATTTAACATTAGGTCAAGAAAGAACATAGATTTTTATTTTTGTTTTATTTATTTCATGTTTTGTTTTTTGTTTTTTGTTGATTTATTTATTTATTTTGATTAGATCATAGGTTAAAGAGTTGGTATGATATGATGATTCATACTCATGTACAGTAGGTGGCGGTATGCACCTTTTAAGTTGTTTGCAATCCGCCAAAAAACGAAGAGAAGAAGAAGAAGAAGGTGGTCGTCTGAGGTCGGTGGAACTCTTGTCCGACACTATTTTGAATCCGTGTGGAAACAACCAGCTGGTCTCAGTTGGATCTTAACGCAGTGTACACTGTTTATTTATCTGTCAATATAATGATGTTCTAGAGGTGTCGCTCTTCACTGACACTGTTACCGATACTGTTTGCTGAAGCGAGAAGCATTACCATCAGCTCTGGGCTAGCATCGCAGCTAATGTTTCTCCAATAAGTTAATGACCATGTTAGGCTTTTTAACGCCACAAACTCGTAATGTTAAAGTATTTATCCAGGTGTTTATACCGACAACTCGACACATATGTTCCTCAGCCAACTGTCAGTCAGAGGAGTATGTCCGCAAGTTTATTTTAGAAAACACGGAGATAGCTGGACAGCAGAGTCTGACCCCACAAGTCAAACTGAGGCTGTTCACTCCTAACTGCAGATTCTGGAGAGAAAGACCCGAGCTCTGGCCTTTCGAAGACCCCTACTGGGCCATATACTGGCCAGGAGGACAGGCACTCTCAAGGTAATATTCTAGCCCATCAATGGCACAGTTTTATGTGCGTGAGTTACAGAGGTGGGAAGTAACTAAGTACAGTACTTAAGTACAATTTTGAGATACTTGTGCTTTACTTGATTATTTCAATGTACTCCACTACAATTCAGAGATAAATTGTGTACTTTTACTCCACTACATTTATTTAGTACTTTTTAGTTACTTTAAATATTCGGATGAATGATGTGAAATATAATCAACACTTAAATCAGACTTTAGTTACAGCTGGAGTAAATTCACAAGCTACCCTGCAGTATACAAAGTCATTAAAACTAGCTGCACCTTTGTTGTGGAGCAACCTCTGAAGTTGGGCCGGATGTCTTCGAGATCTTCACAACACTATGTTAACACTTATTTAACTTTCAAAGAATCAACAGAGTCAAAAGAGTTCCAATAGAATAGAGTTTACTGAAGATTCAACAAAGTACAGCAAACACGAATCGGTCCATGGAGTGACTGCCTTTACAATGTTCAGGCTTCTTCTTATTCATTTCTTACCAGTTGTTTGTTTGTTTGTTTGTTTATTTGTAGCCTTTATTTAACCAGGTTAAAAAATCCCATTGAGATCAACGATCTCTTTTTCAAGGGAGACCTGCGGTACATTGGTTACACATAAAAACAACAGAAAACAAAAAGGACATCACAACATAATTACAGGGGTATAAATTAGCAACCTATTCACAGTGACAGGTATCTAATAACATTTCATCCAGCCGTGCTTTAAAATGATGCAAGGGAATCAAAATGCTCAGTTTCAATGTTTTTTGCATAGTGTTCCAAGTTAGAGGAGCAGCGCACATAAAAGCTTTAGTACCTAAAACAGTCCTAGCACTTGGCACATGTAATAAGAACACATCCTGGGATCTCAGGCAATAGCTACTTGCCACTCTCTGTGAGATCAAAGAGCAGATATAAGAAGGTAGTTTACCCAGCATGGCTTTGTAGATGAACATGTACCAATGACTGAGCCTCCGAACAGTTAGTGAAGGCAGACCTGCCTTGGCATACAGGGTACAGTGATGAGTAAGTGCTTTACAGTTAGTAACAAATCTCAGAGCACTGATAGGCGGCATCTAACCTTTCCAGGCAATGGGCAGGTGCATTCATATAGATCAAATCACCATAGTCCAGCACAGGTAAAAAGGTCACAGTGACAAGCCTTTTCCTGGCTTCAAAAGAGAAACAGGACTTGTTTCTGACTTGTTGTGCCTTTCTTATGCGTAGGTGGGTCTCTGGTAGAAGACACCAGGAGGGTCTCAGGCCCTCCTTCTTGACCTTGACTTTCTCTATCAAGTAGACACCATTGTTTCTTCCACCATCCTGAATTCCCCTACTCAATCATACTTTGTTTGATATTCTGGCCTAGGTCATTTTTAATGGTGTTTTGACCATGCTATCTTTATCTGCCAACTCCCTTCCTAACTAAACAGGTGCAAGGATTCCCAAAATGAGAACTTTCCACAGATGAACAGTTAACGTATGCGTTTCTGAGCACGTATGCTTTCAATGATTAGGGTTGTTATATAACATGTCCCATACACACACACAAATATATCCCACAGCTTTACCAGCTCTGATAACACTTGCATCAATAATTAATTGATAATAATAATTAATCAAAACATATCATATATATTATTATGAAATGGACCAATCTGCATAATGAGTACATTTGTTACTTTAAGTATGCAGGACTTACTTGTAACAGAGAATCCCTATACTCTGAGTACTTCTACTTTTACTTAAGTACAAGATCTGAGTACTTCTCCCACCTCTGCAGTTAAGTGTCATGCAGCGCCTCCTCTGTGCAGGTTTCTCCTGGATAACCCTGCTGTGTGTCGGGGAAAGACAGTTCTGGATCTGGGCAGCGGCTGTGGAGCCTCAGCCATCGCTGCAAAACTGAGTGGTGCTGCTCATGTTGTTGCAAATGACATTGACACTGGTATGTATGCTTAGCTGTCTCCGGAGGTTACATTCTTACAATACTTGTTATCTTCTAATATACAAAATGTAAAAGCACACAAGATTAAACAAGTGAATAATAAAATCAAAACTTAATGTAATTACATACAAGAATTGCATCATGACTTAAACTGAATTATCCCTTTTCCAAAGAAAAGTCTTGAATTATAAAGTAATAACGCTCATGGAAATATAGTTCGAATCTATGCTGTCTCAGTGTGTCAGGTGTCAAGCCATTGTAGGTCAAAGGTCCTAAAAAGTTCATTTCTACACATGGGAATTGTTCCATTGTCTGGCAGTCAAGCCTCTCAAGGTCTGAGATCCAGAAGACTCCTCTTTTCCTGTTCAAAGTTAGCAAACACAATTCATTTCCAGGTTGCACAAGGTGAGAGTTAAACAGTTCACAGTGGTCAAAGTTGAGTTTCCTGGTAAGCAATTTCCAAGTAGTTCTTTATTTGATTAAATCGAATTGTAGCCACTTAAAGGTGGGATATGTAATTTTGGAGAAATCAGCTGGAGTGCGCTAGAATTTGAAAATAGTACTTGGGCTGTCAAGTTAACGCGATAATGCAAAAAAAAATTAACGCCACTAATTATTTTAACGCGATTAACGCATGTGTATTTTTTGTCCTCGGCCGCCCCGTAGTTTCAGAGCGCATCGAGTTTAAAATACCATCTACAAGCTGATGCTGACAGCCCCGCTCCTGCCGCCCGCTTGTGGCAGACCACACTTCCACGCTCACCGGCAGGCCCGGACTGGCCATCGGGAGGACCGGGAGGGTGTGTGTATGTGTGGCGCGACTCGAGCGAGGCACACCTTACGTGTTGTTGTTGTTAGCATCTGGTGCTAGCTAGCTGCGCTAACGGATATAAGGAGCTGTTTCAATGAAAACAGAGGAGCGACATTTCGCCGACAACTGCGCCGAGCACTTGACTTTATGCAGGTAGCCAGACAGTGGGACATTGTACGAAAAGTCAGCACACTCAGCACGGATAGTGCGCGCAACATGATTGCAGCGTCCAGGCAGCTCCCGTTGGAGCATATATGCCTTGAGCTGCACATAGCTCCAACGATCCATCACAGTGTCTCCACACACACACACACACACACACACACACACACACACACACACACACACACACACACACACATACACATACACATACACATACACACACACACACTTTGTATTGTATTATTGTATGAGAGGTTCCAGGTTAAATTGAGGCGAATATTTGTAATGTTCAGAGGTTGTTGTGTTTAATATTCATGAGAATAGTTGTCATTGTTCAAATGATAATAAACAAACATATAAAGCATATTTGTCCACTCATATGTTGATAAGAGTATTCAAAACTTGAAAAATATCCCTCTAAGTTACATTTAGAGCAGATAAAAAATGTGCGATTAATTTGCGATTAATCGCGATTAACTATGGACAATCATGCGATTAATCGCGATTAAATATTTTAATCGACTGACAGCCCTAGAAAATACACAACTGGAACAAATCTGCCACTTCCTTACAGAGCCCCTCCTCCAACACACACGAACGCGCACATGACCAATGAGGGCACAAGATAAGTTTGTGCACAGATGGAAGGCTGACAGGCAGGTAGGCCATCCAGTTATTTTAGCCTGGCCGGCTAAAATGATTGGTCGTGCTTTTTACAGCGCTACAGATGACATTTTTTTTTTTATGTATTTATTGTCAAAGCATTTAATATATTCATTGCTATCGGGATGTTAAGAGCATTCCATGGAATATAACAAGTGTTTCTGAAATAAATTACGTACCCCACCTTTAAATACATTTTTTGATGACTGATAAAACTTCAGAGGGCAAGTATTTAATATCTTTAATTGAAGATGGTTCACCTTTAGGTCATAGACAACACATTCTTAAGTGTGATTTGGGCCACAGGGATCCTTATCTCAACGTCTGGTGTTTACCCAGAGACAACATCACTTCCCAGACCTTGAAAAGCAAAAGACAACGGAGCAGTGACAACTATTTTCTTGCAGCTGTGGACAAACTGGTCTGGGAAACCATATTGTTGTGCTTTCAGTTTTATGACGGTCTGAGTTGGCCAGGTGCGAGCCATAACAAGATACTGCAAACTGTGAGCAACTGCCCACTGCAGTGTTTCCTAACAAGATAATGAATGTTTGAGTTCACTAAAAGGCAGGGATTAGATAAAAAAAAATCATAACTGTTTAGTTTCAATTTTTCTTACATTAAAGGAGAGGTGTCATGGCCATTTCCACTGATCATAATTCCATTGTTGAGGTCTACTAAAATAGATTTATACTGTGCATTTTTCCAAACTCACATTGGTTTCTCATACAGCATCTCTGTAAACTACGTGTATTCACTGAATTTCACTCTCTGCCTTTAACGGCTCGTTGTAGCTCCAATAGCTCCAGCCCCCACCCTCCCTGTGAGCACAGTGTGCTCTGATTGGTCGGGACGTTGTGAATCGCGCTGAGCTCCGTGGAGGTGTTGTTTCCTTGTTTAGCATACACAGCGAAACACAGCCAAACTCATCCTGAGCACACACAAACTCACAGCCGAAGTAAAAACAATAAGTGTGGCTTGATATTGAGTAAGAAAAAGGTTGATAAACGCTGTGAGAATGGGTCTGCAGAGAGAATTTCGCCGCGATCCCAACTGTCTGTTATCAGCCTGCAGCCAGGGAGGAGAAATCAGCAGAGCTGCCTGTGTGTGAGGAAGTCCGTGGATTGGTCAATTTGGACCAATCAGCGGGGGCTTAACGTAACGGCTCCACGGATTGGTCCATTTCGTTCCGGGTACGGCATTACATCATGCCGTACCCGGAAGAATCAAATGGACAATGACGTAAAAACCTTCATAACACACAAGGGGACGGGTAATAACCGGAAAAGCATGACACCTCTCCTTTAAGGTAACTCGTGTTAAAAAATATGCTTCCAAGTACTGCTCTATTAAAGTAAGTGTGAGAATGCCCGAGCGGCCATGGAGGCAAAATAGGAGAAGCAGGCAGGTTGGTGTTTTTCCACAGAAAACTGTTTTATTTTTTCATCCACTGTGACAACATGGCGGCCCTCCACCACCCACACAGTATACCACACAGTATACCACACAGTTCTCAACCCCTGACCAACAGATAACAGCACCTAAATACACAAGGACTAATCAAACACACAAAACACAGGGCACCAGGTCAACACAATCGGGTAATCAGCAGGAGGGAACACAGAGACCGGAAGCAACAGACAAGACGGGGGTGAACACTTATACAATTAATGCAATTTAATCATTTAATAAATACTACATCAATAAATAGTATAAACTATGTACAAATGTGCAAATATGCAATGCCAAACTGTACTGTGCAATCATGCCAATAAAGTGCAAACTGTTCACCACTAAAGTGCTGAGTGACATTATTTCCGTGCACAGGGAAGTTGTCGTCAATATACCCTATACAGTACAATGATTATATAAACATGTTAACGAGAGCTCTAGTAACGGCGTCTCGTCGTTACAGTAAGCCTACATTTCTTTCAGATGATTACTTGAAAACCTAAAAAGCGATGTAAGGTCTAATGTGGAATGTCTTAAAAACTAACAAGACTGCAGTCATCATATTAAAGTAGGATTAAGAGTATTTTAAAGTAAAACAGCATGATTGAATAAATACAATACATTTAAAATGAATTCTTAAAGGAAATCATGTTGATATAATCTTAAGGAAATAATGACTGTTTTGATGAGTTTGTTTTATCTCAAGATTTGCTTTTATTTTAAAACGTCATTCATTTCAATCATGAACATGTTTATGTTTTGTGTATGCCAGATGTATGTGACATTTTAAAGGTTAGAGATACAGTTATGTTTAGACCTTTCGGAATTAAAACCGTTGTCAAAAACTAAAGTAATAACAGGAATCATTTAATATAATACCTGTGTTGTGGTCAGCCGGTGCAATAGAAGCTAACATGTCTAATATGTCTGTTTGTGTTACAGTTGCAGCCGTTGCCACCCACATGAACTGTGAGTTGAACGGCCTGCCGCCGCCTGTTTGTCTGACCAACAACATGATCGATTCGCAGCCCGAGGGCTTCGACCTAATCCTCCTGGGGGACATGTTCTACGACGAGGCCCTCGCCACCAGCCTTCACAGCTGGCTGGACTGCTGCATCAAAACCCACGGCACCAAAGTCCTGATCGGGGATCCTGGAAGAGCCCAGTTCGAGGAACACGGCATCCGACGCCTCCTGCATCAGCTGGCTGAGTTTGAGCTGCCCAAGTCTGTTAGAGAGGAGAACTACGGTCTGACCTGCAGCAGCGTTTGGTGCTACCGTCCTGAACTCTAAGGACCGGAGAGGATCCTCTGTGATTTGTGATGTCACATGTTCACACCTCCCAGTACCGTGTGAGGTGTTATGTGATTACTCTATAGTCGTTTTATACAATCAGGGTCACTTTGTTGTCACTTGGAAATCTGTATGACCATCAGCATCTGAAAGATCTTGATGATTTAGCGTGTCACTGGTGACTTCCTCTACATTCTTGCAGAATACTTTGATATTCAGCAGGACAGACCAGCAGAAACTAAAATGAAAGGAAAGCCAATCTGAATTACGACAAGGGTTTACGATTCTAACACTGATAAGGGACCAGACCCCAAGACGCAGTCCTGTCTCAAGAAAGAATAGGTACTGTTAGAAGTTTCACACCTTCAAACCCCCATTTCCCCTGCTTTCTTTTCCTTTTGTCCTCATTTCCACATGTCTCTGAAAGTGATCCGTACTGACCTGCTTTGATGATGTGTATTTTACTGATATACTTTACAAGGAGATATACAAATGCATGTGTAGACATATATACGCACCTATGTATAAGTGTTTGTCATTGTTAAAAAGGTTGACATCTATTCGGTTATGTTATGATTTAATTCCTTTTTAATTCAACTGATTAGGTTTTATTCAGTGATTGCTATGATAAATGTGGTACCGTTGTTTAGCTTACATAGTTTCACTTTTAAATATTTATTAATTAAGAATGTGAGAAAGCAACATCAACCTTTAGAAGTCTGCAGATGGGTGGGTTATCTCTCACATCAGTGACTCTTGACTTCCTGTAGAGAACCTTATAGGACTACCAGAAAGCCACAGTCGAAGCTCTGAGTGTTATCTTAATTCCTGCTCTCATTAGGCACTTTCACACCGGAGTACTTTTCCCCGTACTTTTCCCGTTTAGTTCCGATAGTTCCTGGGATTTTGCGTTCACACCAAAAAGATAACTTAGTTCATGAGAACCTTTACCCCCTTTTTAGTGCCTGCTAGAGATGTGGTACTTTCCTGGGGAGAAAAAAGTTCACATTTCTGATTGGCTGGGCGAATTGCAAACCACGCCCCGTAAAACTCTGAAAAGTTTTGAGAAGCCGCCATTGTATTTGCTGGCATTAGCATTATTAGCATTAGCCCCGCGCACCAACGGAGAGAGAATAACTTATGGCAACACAACAAAAAACATGGGAGCGGTGGAGTGATGAGGAGGTGTCGGCGTTCTGGCGATTTACTCTGAAGGCTTGCTGGGACTCCCAGCAGCTTCTACTGAAGCCAGTCCCCAACTCCGGGGACTTCCGGTCGGGGACTTCGGGTGGCAGTATACGCCGTGAAGTTGTTTGCGGCCTGCCAGTAAACCCAAAGCAGAAGAAGAAGTGACGTCAGCGGCTTCATTTGCTTCATTAGCGTAATCTTCCCTCAGGGAACTTATTCCGGTGTGAAGGCGATCTGCTCTTAGGCCACATTTACACGAGAACGAAACGGCTTGTATCTGCATAGTTTCTCTTACGTATAGCCCTATTATTTACACGAGGCCGTAACAAACGGACCCCACAAACAATAACGGGTCCCAAGGTGGATAGATTTGCAAACGAAACTCTCTGGGGGGTCAAACAAGTCCGTTTAATCGCCTCTATACGAATATTTCCTGAAAAAATAACGATAGCCCCACCTCTCCCCGCCTCTGCTGCTCACTGCTGTAGCATGGCCAGTAGCTACTGTCAGTAGCTACTGCTAGTGCTACTGCTACTGACCATGCTACAGATGTTAGTACAACATCTACAGCTCGACCATGCTACAGATGTTAGTGCAACATCTACAGCTCCTCTACCACAACCATCAGCAACAAGTGGACATGGAGAATTACATGAACTACTACATGTTGCTAAATCCACCGCGGGGCATAAACAGAAGGGTAGCCATGGCAACATTGCTCCGGGCTGCTCCGGGGTCTTCTTCGCTGCTTTTGGTGTATTTTGTGGCGGAAGTTACAGCGCCACTTACAGTCCCGGCATATGTACTACAGCGTGTCCAGCGCTTTCGAGCGGTCTCGTGTGGAAGTACAGCGCCACTTACAGTCCCGGCATATGTACTACAGCGTTTCCAGCGGTCTCTTTTGAACAGACACGTTAAATGAAACGAATGCATGTACGAATGCATGTGAACGGAATACTTTTTTAAAAACGCATACTGTGCATAAACGCAAACGTTCCCGTGTAAAAGCAGCCTTAGTTCAATGGGGGTACTAAGTGCTGGGAACTAAGTACGGCAAAGTACTTGGTGTGAAAGCGGCTATTATCCTGCTTTAGCCTCTTGGTCTTTTCACCATCTTCGGTCCAGCCCTCGTAATCAGCTGGTCATCTTCTCGATTGAAACTAAACTGAGTTTTATAAAATGAACTTACTTTTTCATGACTTCCTATAAAAAAATTAAAAAATGTATACGAAAATCTCAAGGGAAAACTGGCTGCTTCTAGTGCAGCAAAGAATTATGAGAGCTTATGGTTGAAGAAGCAGGAGAATGTATCAAGGCTTACAGAAGTGCCGGACAAGATACGTTTTATTACCCAGTTCTGTAGGTAACTTCCTGTTGAGGACTCCTGACCACATTACCAGACTAATGAGGCAAAATGTGTGTACACATAAGGTTAATGTTTGAAGAGACATATGCCATTTCTAATGGATGTTGGACCCTAAACCAGACACTACACTTACCTATGTTAGCATATGTCACTTATGTGCCTCAGTTCACATGACCTCTTTGTCGTCGGGAATAATATGTTTTGATACTATTAAAACCAACACACTCTCACGACGCTTGGTCAGGGTCCCGTGGCGTCCAGTTGTGACGCGCCGAGGCTCCTTCAGCTTCATAAACGGACGCAAAGAGCTTTCAACTGATTGCAATGTATTCCCATCGGCGGCGGTATTTGACGCTTAGGGAAGCACGGCATTCGTTTGTGTCGGAGGCTGTTAAAGGCAATGTGAGCGTCCATTCCCATTGGATAACGGAGAATTGTACACCCGGAAGTAAGTATTCCCCTTACTGTCGATTGATTTGACAGTGATATCTCCACTACTCATCAACTCAAAAACACCAGATTATCCTTGTTAATTAAATGACATTGATAGGTTTGAGTGTGTGTACAATACTTTTGTCACGTTTTCCCCTTCAATTCTGAGAAACAAGTCATTTTCTACGAGTTTTGGATGGCCGAAGACATTACATTACCCACAATCCTCTGTAGCAACCATAGACTGTATAAAACAATTAAATAATACATTATTCCGAGTGTGCTTGCTTTTCTCTTTGAAAGTCATCACATAACGGCATTGTAATACACGTTGCGGCTGCATTAAATATGACATATCTGCCGTAGTTAACTCTATTTATAGACGTGGATCTTAAATATATAAGCAATTAAACCACATCTTACATTTATTTTCACACAATACGTCTCCTTGCAGTATCAACACTAATTCGGCTGACTTTTATATTTGATCCAATTGGTAGATAGGCTGTATTTACGCCATAACGGTGCACAGCTGATAGAAAGGGACACCTACTGGTTAAAGCACGTTATTGCATTTTATAATTTTATTATTAGATATTAATAGAGTAATAGGATCCCTAAAGTATATTCTTTACTCGTCGTTATTCTCTACTAATAGTTAATTAAAGACTGTATATAATGACTATTTTGCACATCCCTTTCAAGATTTCAAGATTTTCTAAGGTTTATTGACATATCATATTATACACAACTACGGTGTAGTTATGCAATGAATGAAAAACTTGGGTCGCAGGTTCCTCAACAGTGCATTACAAGACATCTATCAATATGTGTGTACCTCCACCATTACATTGTCATATTCTGCACATTTCTTATACTATCTACATACATCTTATAAGAGTATAATACATATGTATAATATCAGTTAAAATAAGTGCTTAAACATAGTTAACATTGCAGGAAAGCAATATATTAGACGTTAAGTACTTTGTCAGGCTTAATATTTATCTGTAGATACAAATTTCACTGTGTTTAATGCCGTTATGTGATGACTTTCAAAAAGAAAAGCAAGCACACTCGGAATAATGTATTATTTAATTGTTTTATAGTCTATGGTTGCTACAGAGGATTGTGGGTAATGTAATGTCTTCGGCCATACAAAACTCATAGAAAACGACTTGTTTCTCAGAATTGAAGGGGAAAACGTGACAAAAGCATTGTACACACACTAAAACCTATCAATGTCGTTTAATTCACAAGGATAATCTGGTGTTTTTGAGTTGATGAGTAGTGGAGATATCACTGTCAAATCAATCGACAGTAAGGGGAATACTTACTTCCGGGTGTACAATTCTCCGTTATCCAATGGGAATGGACGCTCACATTGCCTTTAACAGCCTCCGACACAAACGAATGCCGTGCTTCCCCAAGCGTCAAATACCGCCGCCGATGGGAATACATTGCAATCAGTTGAAAGCTCTTTGCGTCCGTTTATGAAGCTGAAGGAGCCTCGGCACGTCACAACTGGACGCCACAGGACCCTGACCAAGCGTCGCTCCTGGACGCTTAGGGAGTGAGTGTGTTGATTAAAACATGTGCCTATACAATCTACCTACCTCAACCGTTTGGGTACTTTTGTATATGAATTTTAACCTTTATAATCACTTGTGTTTTTCGATTCTATGTTATACGAAGTATAAACAGGAGGGATATGTTGGAGAAAATGCAAGTTGTCTCCTCTTATGGGCCTAAATGCATTGATACTGTGGGTGTGTGTGACACAGACGAGAGGACACATATTTGTTAGCAAAAAGTATTTGAATCAACATTGAGATATTGTCACGCTGAAGATTTCAATCAACATTGATGTCAGACATTGAAAATGAACTCAAATGAACTAACAAAAAAAGAGCCATTATTTATTCAGTTGATTATTACGATTTAATTCAATTATATGAACATTTTGTACATCTTTTGTCCACTTTAGCACACAAAACATTCTCTCTTTTAAAGGTCTTATCATATGCTTTTCTGGTTATTACCCATCCCCTTATGTTTTGTGTTATGTAGCTTTTTCTGCATGTAAACGGTCTGCTGAGTCACAAACCCTCAAAGTACACCCTGTAGCGAGTAAAACTCTAACACAGAAAAGACCTGTCTATGCTGCCAGGCAATGCAGCGCTGTATGGAAGCTGTCAGCCGACTTGCCCAGCCCAGCCTGGCTGTGTGTGTGTGTGTGTGTGTGTGTGTGTGTGTGTGTGTGTGTGTGTGTGTGTGTGTGTGTGTGTGTGTGTGTGTGTGTGTGTGTGTGTGTGTGTGTGTGTGTGTGTGTGTGTGTGTGTGTGTGTATGTGTGTGTGTGTGTGTGTGTGTGTGTGTGTGTGTGCTCAGGCTGAGTTCCTGTGTCTCGCTGTCTCGCAGACCCCATGCCATCATAATTTTCTGTTTAAAGCGTGTTTAGACGTTGATAACATGCATTCTTCACATGCTGAAGATATGGATTTGAAAAAATGCACGTTTTGCAACATAACACAAGTTAAGGACATTTCTTGATATAATAAACATCTAGCAAAGC